CAGAGCACAAACCCTGCCCCACCAGGGCTCCTCATTAAGTACTGCTCTCAAAACTCCCTACCATCCTGTTGGTGCCAACTCGTAGTGCCCCTACAGGACACGGAAGAATGACCCCTTGTGATTTTCCAAGACTATAACTCTGGAAAGCCCCATCTCTCCCAAGGAGCAGCAGGTGGTTCCCAACTGTAGGACTTCTGGATCAAAGCCTAACTTATAAGCTCTATCCCACCAAGGCTCCTTGTTGGGTGCATTTTCAAAATTTAACTGCACTTAGGATTTCCTAACAACAAAGCCCCACTGTCCCCAAAACAACCATGGATAGAATTTAAGGGGGCTGTCATTTTGGATGGGAAATAAGTTATACTTTTGCATGATCTCAAACTCAAATTTAGCATACACTTTCATTATACACATAGGCAGCAAATCTTGGACTTTATGATTAAAAGAAGTTAAAGATATTGTCACATCACATCACTATTGTAACAAACTCTAAAAATAATATGTTTAATACGACTTTAGATCATGGTTATAATTAGATCCTGTTGGTACATAAATAAAACAGTAATGCATTTCCATACCACCAATTTGTTTTTAACATTATGATTTTAATATCATTATTAAATATGTATATTATCAAACAATATGATATAATATATAGTGTGTTTAAATATGTTTGGTTTTCTTTGTAATCCTATGTAGAATTTTAATGATTTTTTTTTAATTGAAAGAACAAAGATTTTTATTAAGCATTATAGATTGCATTCAATAGCCTTCAAAAACACCATGCCACAATCTATCTAGAATCAATCATAAATATGTTTGGTTTTCTTTGTAATCCTATGTAGAATTTTAATGATTTTTTTAATTGAAAGAAAAAAGATTTTTATTAAGCATTATAGATTGTATTCAATAGCCTTCAATAGCACCATGCTACAATCTATCTAGAATCAATCAAATCCAACAATAGTTCATTTTTGCACAATCCATGAGTTAGGGCAAAACTCTCTTCAACTTACAATAATTACCCATTTAGCTCATTTTAAAGTTTTATTCTTGACAATGGAGCACAGGCTTTCTTGGTCAGAGACAACGGAATACAGAATTCAATGTAACGCAAGCGAAGCCTTCGCGTCAGTCTTAGGAACTGAAATTTCTAATCTCTAATCTCTACATTTTCTGATATAAAGTAACCACATAAAAAATGTGTGTGTCTAAAAGGGATAAGAAATGATGCAGGTTCAGTCTTCATCTAAAATTTTAAGGAAGAATATGAGATTAAAATAAAGATGTTTTTTAAAGTAATGTTACACTTCATTATATTATTACATATCCTAAAAAAAGATGAAGGATTAGATATGAAAATCACCTAAACAGAAATTTATTCCCATTTAGCCTATTGTTGATTCCTTCATCTCATTTGAACATACAATTTAACATTGTGAGGACATGTGCCTAGTTTTAAATCACAATTGGCATTGAATCCAAACTATAAAGATAAATCACCTCGTAGACAAAGTGTCCTTTTACCCTTCTCTCTAGCAATAGGCAGCAAGCACTACGTACCTAATGGAAGACAAAATGCCAAGGATTGAGAGTCATTAGCATAAATAGACTAACAGATTCTGAAATAAGTGTTAAACTGCTTCAGAATCCTGTGATCTTCGAAGGACAATTTCTTAACCTTCAGTTCCCTGTACTTTCCTTGTGAGAAGCTCACAGATGATCCCTGCAGGTGTTAGCTATTATTACAAACAAATATTTGCATCATTCATGCTCCCTATGAAACGTACAACGGACAAAAGAGATGAAAATTGAACAGGGCTGAAAATGATAGCACCGTCTTGCTCTGTACTAAGTCTTTCAATGGCTTGTCTATTGGAATAGGTATGCCCATTTTCATTTCACAGTGATTTAAACAAGCAAAGATTTATAAAATGGATTTACCAAGCAAAAGTTCCATTGTGTTCGATATGTGTTAGACAATCAGGAGTTAACACATTATCAATGAGAGAGTTCAATCTAACCTGCCTTTTAACTCTATCATCCTGCGGAAATAGTCCGTGACCGAAAACACTGCTCTCAATGCCCACTAAATAAACCTCTTTGGAGTCCAGCTGCCATCGCCCTTGAACGCTCAGTAAGGCTTCAACAGCTCAACAGGGCCTCCTTTTGTCACTCTCTCCTCAGTTGATTTCTAGGACAGTGGGCCTGGTTTTACTCCCATCTCAGTTGTTGCTCCTTATCACATTTCTGGTTGCTTTTGTTTCTAATTCACATCCTCTGATTACATTAGCTGATGCTATCCAGTAGCATAGCTGTAAATAGTATATATGATATATACTAATTTTTCTAAAATTATTTCTCCTGAATTACAAGTTACAACACTGACCCTCCAATTTGATATCTCTGTTGACATGTCCAAGAGGCACTTCAAACTTTGCACTTCCAAAATGGATCGTGGTCTCTGCTCCACACCTCCTTTTCCCTCAGCCTTCTCTATCTCATTGGTTGTCAACTTCATCACACCATATTTTGGGGCTTAAAATAATTCGTCATCCTGAAGGCTTTTTCCCTTACATTTTTTATTAGGAAATTCCATTGGCTGAACTTTCAATATAGCCATAAATAATAAATTCATAACTTAAACATAATAATAACAACTCATAAACTCAACATATCATTGTCTGAGCCAATATCATCACTGATCTAATTGTACAGAAAGCCTTCTAAATTCTTTTTTTCCCATTTACCATCTATCATGCAACAAAAAGAATAGGTCATCCTTTTACAACTGAAATAGGATCATCTTCCTCCTCGTTTCAGAATTACCTGAAATCTTCCATCTCACTCAGAGTAATAGATTCCTCATGTAATGGTTACATGTTGGGCTGAGATCCACATGGCTGGCAGTTCAAAACCACCAGCAGCTCCACAGGAGAAAGACTGGGCTTTCTACTCATATAAACAGCTACAGTTTTGGAATTCCAGAGGGGGTCTCTATGAGTCAGCATTGTGTTTGTTTGTTTTGCATAATTCTATGTATGTTATGCTAGCTCTCTCTTTATTTACTCTGCTTCAGCCACATTGACCTCTCAGTCACACTTCTCCTGGAGTCTTTGTGCTTAATATTGTTGTGCTTTAAACATCTTCAGGGTTAGTGTTCGCATTTCTTTACTAATGATTTGTAAATCATTACTCAAAAATGTCCTTCTAACCTACCCACTCCACTCAAAGGCTAACAATGCCATCCGTATCTTGTTTTCCTACTTCCTACTTTGCATTTATCATTGATAATATACATGAGAAAAAAAAAGTTCATTTAAAAAGAGGAGGTTGGAGAAGACGAAAATAGACATCAGAAGAGATGCTAAGAATGCAATGCAAAGAGGCAAAAGCAATTGGAAGAAGTGTTGAAGTAAAAGAGCTAAACAGGAAATATAAAAGTCTGCTAGAGAAGACAAAGGAAAATATTATAATGAAATGTCAAAAGACATAAAAAATTTAAAATGGAAGAACATACTCAGCATTTTCAAGTTAAAAGATGTAAATAAACAATAAAACCTTGCATTTCAAAATATTAAAGTATGCAGCAAGCATCAAAAAAAAATATTGGCTTATGCACATATATTTATATGGCAATACATTGAGGAAGTGGATGGACTTTGGACCTCCGTTCAAGCCCTCTGTCAATTCACGAACACTTTGTTTTAATAACCTGGCATTCTGTGATGCTCACCCTCCTGGCATGATTGCTGAAGATGAAATGGGTGCACCAGCAAATGTGAAGAAAGCTGATGCCTGGCTATCAGAAGATATAGTGCCCAGGGTTTTAAAGACTTGAACTTAAACAAGTGGCCATCTAGCAAAGAAGTAATAAGCCCACATGGAAGAAGCACACCAGCCTGCATGATCATGAGGTATTGACAGAATCAGGTAACAGGCACCAGAGGACCCAAAACAAAAACATAATGTTGCAAATGAAGGGGGTCAGAGCAGAGACCCAAAAGTCAACTTCAGACAATAGGACATCCGCTCACAAAAGGGTCTCAAGGAAGCGATGAGTCAACCAGGGTGCAGTATAGCACAAACGAAACACATACTATTCCTCTGCATCTTTGAGGCTTCCTCACCCTCCACTATCATCACCCCAGTCCTGCCTAGACGAGGTCTGGCTAGATGAGAGCATGTACGCTGGTACAGGTAAGAGCTCATGGCACACAGAATCCAGGTCAGATAAACCGCTCAGGAACAGAAATGGGAGTAGAGATACCAGGAGGGTAGGGGGAAGGTGAGCAGAGAAGATGAGGAAAGAAGGGGGAACCGATTGCAATGATGGATGCTTAATCCCCCCACCTCCACCCCTCATCAGGGGAAGCAACAACAGAAACATGATGAAAGATATGAAAACAAAATAATTTATAATTTATCAAGAGGTCATGAGGGTGGGAGGGGAGAAGGAGGGAAACAGGAGGAGCTGATAACACGGGCTCAAATAGAAAGTAAACATTTAGAAAATGATGAGAGCAACATATGTACAAATATGCTTGATGCAATTGATGTATGGAGTGTTATTAGAGCTATAAGAGTCTTCAATAAAATTATTTTTTAATTAAAAATAAAATAGACAAAAATGAAGATCAATGGAATACACAGAATCACTGTACAAAATAATAATTGATCTACAGTCAATCAATTGATAGTATAGAAGGAAGAAATTCAAGATGCACTGAAGGCATTGGTAGAAAACAAAACTCCAGGACTGTCAAACAATCAATTAAAATATTTTAACAAATGGATACAGTATTGCAGGGACTCATTCTCTGCCGAGAAATGTGGAAGACAGCTACTTGGTGATTTGTGTTGAAAAGAAAGGTGATCCAACTAAATAAAAAAATTATCAAAAAATATGATGATCACATGCACATAAATTTTTGCTGAAAGTAATTTGAAAACACTTGCAGTGGTACATTGATAGGGAGCTACTGAAATTGCTAGCAAAATCCAGACGATGACTTGGAATGCCAACCATCATTACTGATGTCAGGTAGATTTTTGTTGAAAGCAGAGAATACCAAAAAAATGTTCATTAGGTTTTATTCACTATACATAGCATTTGACTGTGTGAATCATAAGAAACTATAACTAATATCGCAAAGCATGGGAATTTCAGAATATTTGTGCTCATGCCAAAGTGGCACACAGAGGACAATAGGCAGTTGTTTGAATAGAACAAAGTGATATTGGATGGTTGAAAATCAGGACAAATTTGCATTGAGATTACATCCTTTCTCCATAATTCATTCAATCTGTTTGCTCAGCAAATACTCTGAGCTGGACAATATGAAAAAAAGATACCTCATACAGATGGAGCAATGCTCAGAAACAATCTACCATATGGAGATGACACCACCTTGCTTGCTGACAGGCAAGAGGACTTGAAGCAATTATTGATGAAGATCAAAGGCTGCAGCATTTTGTCAGTAGGGATTACACCTCGATGTAAGCCGAAATCACAACTAGACCAATAGACATCATGATAAATGAAGGAAGACTGAAGTCATCATGGGATTCATTTTCCACAATCAATGTTATTGGAAGCACCAGCCAAGAAATCAAACCTGGTATTGCATTAGGGAAATCTCTACAAAAGACCCTTTTAAAGTGTTAAAACAAACCAAGATGTGACTTTGAGGACTAAGCAGCCCCTAACCCAAGTGATGGTATTTTCATTCCTCTCCTATATGTGTGAAAACTGGATGACAAATACTGACTGTAAAAGAATTGATGCATTTGTATCATGATGTTGGTGAAAAATACTGACGATACCACGGGTGCTAACAGAACAAAGAAATCTGTCTCAAAAGTAATGCAGCCAGTATGCCCTTTAGAAATACTGATGATGAGACTTGGTCTCATACGTGTAGGACATGTTTTGAAGATGGTCATGCCCTGGGAAAGGACATCATGCTTGGTAACGTGGAGGATCAACAGAAAACAGAGAGGTTGACACCGTAGCTGCAACAAAGGGTTCAGACCTATCCACAGCTGTGAGGAGAGTGCAGGTTCAGGCAGGGTTTTATTCTGCTGTATATGTGGCCGCTAGTAGTCACAACCAGCTCAGTGGTACCCAGGATCAACTACAATAATATTTAAGTCATTTATATTGTATATCTCCTGCCTTCCCCATGGATATCTGAATAGGTTCTCTTCTTGTGATTTAGTTCATTCTTTTTTTTTTTTTTCAGGGTGTGGTCAACAAATATCACTTTACTGAATAATTAGAGCTTTGCACCATTTCAATATATAATGTTTTTCATGAAATGCTAAGGATATAACTTCAAGTTACTCTTTGCAGTAGCTTCTAAAATTGACTTATAAAACACTAAGTTCAATTCCCAGGAGGATTCCATCTAGAGGGCTGGAGATATTTCATGAGTATCAAAATATACCAGGCCTAAATTTCTAATGACAAATGAATCCACATCTGTCCATCATTTTCTGATTCACCTTTCTTCAGTTTCTCAGCATGTTATTCATAGCAGAAGATGTATTACTTGTTCCCACCAATTCTACGCAACAGACACTTCAAAAGTTCATCTTTGTGACTAATCTAATTTAATTTCTATCAAAAAAATTCCCTTTGGTCCCTAATACATTTCTTTCGGACTCAATTTACTTTCAACTCAAGCATGTCTATGCTCGATAAATGTCATGGAGCAGGAAATGGCATAGAATACTCATATTTTAAGGATTAAACATTTTACTTATATTGAAATTAAACTTATTCATTTAATTTTAATTTTATTGTAATTGTTTCTGTTAACAACAAATTTTATAAATTTACTCAGTAGGATCACCCACAGTGTTTGCAGCTTAAAATTAATATAAAAGCACTCTATTATTCCATCTGAAAACATCAGATTGACAGAACAATGTATAGAAATAACCCCAATCTGGTCAGAAAATGTTCCAGGACTTGAATAAAGTACCATATCAATGGGCTGGATTTCTCTGTGTGGTGGTGCAAGAGCTTGTAAGTTAATGCATTTTCCAAAATATCAATATTGCAAATGCATAAGTTGTAGAATTGAAAAACAAACTAAAACTGTTCAAAAGTTAATTATACAAATTCTATTATTTTCATAATCAACTTAATTCTCTATGTAAGCCATATATGAGTTAAATATATGAACTTGCCAGTGTCACTCCTTCATCATTTTTCTCATTAATATTTCCTCCAGATGATAAGAAGTGTTTGACATCTGTGAGCATGCTCATTGGTCTCTGAAGCTTCATCTGGCGCAGTGAGGATGGATCCACTCCTGGGGAGACAAAGAGCCTTTCAAGCACAATTGTAGAGATGTTTTCAGCTGCTGAGGATCAAAAGCGTTGTTTTTTTCTTATATCCACATATATCTTTGTGGAGTCTCTCCTCAACTACTACTGTGCACTCTCCTCTATCACGCTCCTTGCATGTTATTTTATTTCCAAGGAGATGACAGTCTTACCAGGCAGCGAACAGTTACTCTCATTATGACCCAGAGACTCTACTCCGGGGCCTTATACCTGAACAGCTCTCAAGATGTAGTTCATTTATTGTGAACCACCACCACACACTTCCCAAAGCCTCTTAAAGCACTTAAATTGAAGCAAGTTCTAACGTTGTATTATCTGCTCGCTATAAATTTCTGACCAAAATAATGTGCGTAAAAATTAGAATGAAATCCCCAAAGCTCACTGCCCAGGAGTTGATTCCTACTCCTAGCCAACCTACACAGGTTATCTGAGAATGCAACCTTTAAGCCCATCTTTATCCTGCCGAGGCTGGTGGGTCTGAGCACGGCTTTGAATTGCTGACTTATGGTTCACAGCCCAGCACCGAACCCACAGCACCGCCAAGCATCCTTAGCCAAGATTTTTGTTTTAATGCACTGGAAAGAAATTCCCCAAAAGTGGATAGCTTAGTTTACTCCCTGGTGTGCTAGGAGTGTTCTTAGTTCCTGTGTCTCTGCCTCGGCTCACGGCAGCTGTTGTGAGGGGGATGTTTAGAGACGGCTGTAAAGGAATTTTGGGTACTGTTTTTATGACACTTCGGTGCACCCTAACTTTTTTCAAAACAAAATATGTCTTTAAAAAAGATTTTACAGTTCAGTGTTTCAACAATATTAATGTTGGCAGAGATCAGATCAAACTGAAGGACGGACAAACCCATAGTTTGATGACTAAGAGAGTCCATAGAGGGGTCATCTACTGACCTCCTGGTTTTCCCTCCATTCAACGTTGAGTGTAATGACGTTATGTGAGCGCATATATAATCCCCAGGGTGGCTTGTCTCTCTCTGACTGTGTCTATCCCATTCGTAGTAATGGTTCTTAGGTTCAATAAGTATTTGTGACTCATCTATTTTCCTCCCAAGAAAAATATTAATAATGATGGCCAGGATAGGAATAAAGATAACAGTTACTTCTAAAAGAGTTTTTCTATGAAACACTCTCCTGAGAACTTTTCTAGCTCTCGTCTGATTCAGTCCTTCCAGAAAGCATGGCAGTGTGGACCCAAGTAGACGCTGTACAGTGATCTTCGTGTCTGTGAGGGATCCGAGTTTTCCTTCCCCAGATGTTCACCTTAACATTCATGAAGCCAGGAGTCTGGCGGCATGCCAGCAACTCCACAGGTGAAAGATAGGCTTTCTAATCCCCAAAGTGTCAGAAACTCAAAGCAGCAGGTCTTTCCTGTCCGCTAGAATTGCTGAGTCAGGAGTGACTTGCTGGCAATGAGTCTGACTCTTCAGTAAGATCTGTCGATCTCACAGGCCCCATAGTGAGCTATTGTGTGCATGCCATCAATGTTCCTCCTGTCGTGCAGTACACCATCTCTCCCTTACTCCACAGCTTAGTTTCTGAACTTGTATCAACAATAATGTGGAGAGGTTCAGGAGTCCCCCACCAGCA